TGGATGGATGGGTGGATGGATGGGTGGATGGATGGATTTATGGATTCCCCCCCAGGCTGCCAAAGACCTCACTTCCCCTCCTCCCGTCCCTCTGTCTGCAGGCGCAGAGAAGTTGATCCTCCACCTGCAGAAGCACAGCATCCCCTTCGCCCTGGCCACCAGCTCGGGGACCGAGTCCTACCGGGCCAAGACCAGCGCCCACCGCGAGCTGTTCGGCGCCTTCCACCACGTGGTGCTGGGCGATGACCCCGAGGTCAAGGCCGGGAAGCCCGCCCCGGACATCTTCCTGGCCTGCGCCCGCCGCTTCACTCCTCCCGCCCCCGCCGACCAGGTAAACCGAGGCCTGGGGCCCCGGGCGCTGGACCGCGTGGACCACACACACACAGACAGACAGACACAGAGACAGACAGATAGACACACAGACAGATGCACAGAGACACAGACAGACAGACACACGGGCAGACAGACAGACACACCAGATAGAGACACAGACAGAGACAGACTCACAGACAGACAGACAGACCACACAGACACAGACAGACAGATACACACTAATAGACAGACAGACAGACAGACACACGGACACAGAGACCAGACAGAAGGACAGACAGACACAGACAGATACACAAAACAACAAGACAGACAGACAGACAGACAGACGCACCCATACACAGAATGTGCAGACAGACAGACAGACAGGTCACAGAGACACAAACAGACAGACAGACACTGATAGACAGAGAGACAGACACACAGACAGAGGAGACACAGACGGACAGACAGACGTCCACAGACACACAGATTCACAGACCGACAGACAGACATAGAGACAGACAGATTAACACACAGACAGATGCACAGAGACACACAGACAGACAGACACACTGACAGACCAGACAGACACAGAGATATGCTGACCAGACCAGACAGACAGACGGACAGACCAGACAGACAGACAAACCGGATAGAGACACAGACAGAGACAGACATACGGACAGACAGACAGACAGACACGGACAGATACACAAAATGACAAGACAGACAGATGCACCCATACACAGACTGGGCAGACAGACAGACAGACAGGTCACAGAGACACAAACAGACAGACAGACACTGATAGACAGACAGAGAGACAGACACACAGACAGAGGAGACACAGACGGACAGACAGACGTCGACAGACACACAGATTCACAGACCGACAGACAGACAGACATAGAGACAGACAGATAAACACACAGACAGATGCACAGAGACACAGACAGACAGACAGACGGACAGACCAGACAGACACACAGACAGACAGACAGACAAACCGGGTAGAGACACAGACAGAGACAGACAGACAGACACAGTGATAGACACACAGATGCACAGACAGACAGACAGACACAAGAGACTGGACAGACAGACAGAGACACAGACCAGACAAGACAGACCGACCACAGAGACACAGACAGACAGACACACATAGGGACAGACAGACACCAAGACAGACAGAGAGACA